GGCGACAGAGAATCACGATCTATGATTCGTGAGCATGAATTGTCATTTGAAGAAGGAGCAGTGCGAAGTGCATCAAAAGCCACACGTATCCGTACAACAAATGTAAAGTTCAATGTACTTCTAACCTCCTATGAGATGATCTCTATGGATCAAGCTTGCTTAGGATCATTAGAGTGGGCCTGCTTGGTTGTAGATGAAGCTCACAGATTGAAGAGTAACCAGTCTAAGGTAATTCTGATTTCTTTGGACACATGTAAATATGATTGCTATACTTTGCGCATTTGTTTTTTCATATAGTGAAATTTGTAAGCTGTATTAATGCCCCCCCTTTTTTTGGGACAGTTCTTCCGTGTGCTGAACCAGTACAACATCGTTTATCGTCTTCTTTTAACTGGAACCCCACTTCAAAACAACCTGGAGGAACTTTTCCATTTACTCAACTTCTTGTGTCCTGAAAAATTCTCTGATCTATCTTCCTTCCAAAATGAGTTTGAAGATATTGCAAAAGAAGATCAGATTAAGAAACTGCACGATCTACTTGGACCTCACATGTTGAGAAGATTGAAGACTGATGTACTCAAGGTAAATTACTTATTCTCATTCTTCCACAGCCTTTCATACTTGCTCTATAGTTTGATGAGCTATGTAGAAATCAGCTGATTATAATATTTTGATAATTTTTTTCTTTCACTAGAACATGCCAACCAAGTCAGAGTTCATCATTCGTGTGGAGTTATCACCACTGCAGAAGAAATACTACAAATACATTCTTACTCGTAATTTTGAAGCCCTTAACTCAAGAGGAGGAGGCCAACAGGTAAGTTCCATTTGCAAAGCTTGAGTGTAGATAAGTTTGAAAGGATATTGCTCATGCTAATACTCTTTTACAGCACTTCAGTCTTACTGCATTATGCTTTAAATTGTTTAGATGAAATAAACCCATTATTCATTAGTGAATATAGTAGTAATTGGTGATCATAGAATAGTCACAAGTATAATGCAAATAATTGTAATTGGGCAGTTATTTCATATCACTTTTGTTTTCCAGGTTTCTTTGCTCAACATTGTCATGGATCTGAAGAAGTGTTGCAACCATCCATACCTCTTCCCAGCAGCAGCAGAAGAGGCTCCTAAGCTCCCAAATGGGATGTATGTAAGCAGAGACCTTGTGAAGGCCAGTGGCAAGTTCATTCTCCTGGAGAGTATGTTGGAGAAGCTCAAACGTGATGGTCATCGGTGAGTTTCACAGTGAAGTTGCAGTTATTTGAAATATGAAAAAACAGTTATGAAATTATCTTGTGGTGTGGGAGGGGGTCAGGGAAGATCAAAAACAAGAATGACATCCAAATTTTTCCCTCAACATTTTAGCCAATCTCATTAATATTGCTTATTAATTTCTCTCCCTTTTTTTCTTTCAGTGTGTTGATTTTCTCTCAGATGACAAGGATGTTGGATGTTCTGGAAGACTTCTGTGAGGGCATGGGCTACAAATATGAAAGAATTGATGGTGGCATCACTGGTCAAGCTCGTCAAGAGGCCATTGATAGGTCAGAGCACTACAAATCTACTAAAAATTTTGGTCTGATATGTGATAGCAACCATTTATACAGAACCATTGTATTCAAGTTAGTATTTAGTTTATCTACAATGTTTTCATCTCCCACACAGGTTCAATGCTCCAGGTGCCCAGCAGTTTATTTTCTTATTGTCCACTCGTGCTGGTGGTTTAGGTATCAACTTGGCCACTGCAGATACTGTCATCATCTACGATTCAGATTGGAATCCACATAACGATATTCAAGCTTTCTCCAGAGCTCATCGTATTGGTCAGGCAAATAAGGTAAATGAAACACAATATTTCTAACACTGTTAGTGTTATGGAATCCATTTAAGTGTAGAATAAATATACATATCTCTTTATCATCATTTATAATTAAAGGAATTTTTTGATGTTGAAATGTATTCAGTTTGGCTCAGATTTTTATGAATACAAGTGTACCACTTCAGTTTTATACCTAATTATACTCTCTCTATATGAATTATTCCAACAATTAAGTCTGAGCTTTGTTCCTACAGGTGATGATTTACCGGTTTGTGACTCGTAACTCTGTGGAAGAAAGAGTCACACAGGTTGCCAAGAGAAAGATGATGTTGACTCACTTGGTTGTCCGTCCTGGAATGGGATCAAAAGCCACAAACTTCTCCAAACAAGAATTGGATGATATCTTGAGGTAAGCATCAGTTTGTCAGTGTCTCCTTTCTTTTGTATTTTTTTAAGCGTTTACTTTGTAAGTATATTTTGATTTCAGATTCTCTGAAAGTAAATTTCCCTTTTTTTGGTATAAAGATGAAAATTTATGTTTGAAATAACGCACTGTATACTTTCATAGGTTTGGTACAGAAGAACTTTTCAAAGAAGAGGAAGGCAAGGAGGATGAAGCTATCCATTATGATAACCAGGCTATTGAGGAACTCCTTGACCGTACAAAGGAGGGTATTGAACAGAAGGAGAACTGGGCTAATGAGTACCTCAGCTCTTTCAAGGTTGCTTCATATGTTACCAAAGAAGGGGAAGAGGTGAGTAGTTTTAGTTGTAATGTCAATGAAAACTATTCGGATACATCCCCACACACACATAAACACTCTCTAATGAAAAGTACATATAATAATGAAGATTTACATTATTAATACAGGAGGAAATGGAAGATGTTGAGGTTTTGAAGCAAGAAGCAGATAATACAGATTCCCTTTACTGGGAACGACTTTTGCGCCATCACTTCGAGCAACAACAGGAAGATCTGGCAAGAACACTTGGAAAGGGCAAACGAGTCAGGAAACAGGTTAGTACAGAGAATTTAGTTGTAATCAGCAGTTTTGTCATTTTCATCAGAATGAATATTTAGTAGCTATGTTTGTTTCATCTATAAGAAATGGCATGAACCTAAAAGAAAATTATAGGATTTTTATTTGCAATTCTATTTTCAAGGTGAACTACAATGATGCAGCAGATGGTAGAGAAGATCTTAGCTGGCAAGAACAAGGCTCAGACTACAACTCTGACTTCTCCATGCCATCAGACAATGATAATGATGATGAGTTCGATGAAAAGAATGAAAGTAAGTTTTTTTTATTTCAGAGGTATTGTACTATTATTAGTACATAAATGAAAAGATGAGGAAAATTACTTGCCTCCTGTCAGTAATTAATTATACATATTTTCGTAATTGTAATTTTAAGATACTTTTAATCGAAAACTTGCCCTCAGCTGAAGGAGGTCGTAGATCACGCCGCCGTGGTGACAGAGGTGACCGTGATCGTCCATTGCCACCACTTCTTGCCCGAGTTGGGGGAAATATTGAAGTAAGATATTGGAGATACGAACTTTTGATGTTTGTCTAAAAGTGTGTTTTTGAATTGTACAAATTTTGTGTTTATGGAGTCTGTATAATGTAAAGTACAATTGTAAGAATTGATATTATTTTATTAGATTATTAAGATTTATCAAATGGTGTCCATGAATCTTGGCCATACCAATTAGTTTGTGGTTTTGGTTGTAAAATGTGGACTAGATAAATTTTAGAGGCATAGGAGCATTGGCAAAGCAAGGCCAAGGCATAAAGGCCCTTTAATACAATTGTTGTATTCTATTTTTAATTGATAGAAACAATTTTTTGTAATGAAATATTTAGCTTTACTGCAAAACATTTATTTGTATACAATGACAATGGTTTGATGTGCAATTATATTTACAGGTTCTGGGATTCAATGCCAGACAGCGCAAGGCTTTCCTGAATGCAGTTATGCGTTATGGAATGCCCCCTCAAGAAGCCTTCAACTCTCAATGGTAAGTCCATAGGCAAATAAACACACTTTAATATTAGTTGATTATTTTTGTTGAACTTTTGAATATGATATCACTACCCTCAGTCTTGCAGGCTTACTCAAGGGGGGAAGTGGTCTAATGCCAAGCCAGGACAAGATTTAAATGTAGGCTACCCTGTTTATGCAGTTATGCTGATCTATGGTTATTATAGGCAACTGACAGGATACAGTCAATTATTTTTTTGTGTTTGTTACTGCTCATATCAAAATGGAACTAATTTGGTTGTTTTAAAGGTTGGTACGAGACCTCCGAGGCAAGAGTGAGAAGTGCTTCAGAGCATACACATCTCTCTTCATGCGCCATTTGTGTGAACCTGGTAATGACAATGCTGAAACATTTGCTGATGGAGTGCCTCGTGAAGGATTAAGTAGACAACATGTTCTCACCAGAATCGGAGTGATGTCCCAAAGAGCATTGGCCAAGAGGCCCCAGGCATAAGGCCTTTAATACAATTGTTGTATTCTATTTTAATTGATAGAAACAATTTTTTGTAATGAAATATTTAGCTTTACTGCAAAACATTTATTTGTATACAATGACACTGGTTTGATGTGCAATTATATTTACAGGTTCTGGGATTCAATGCCAGACAGCGCAAGGCTTTTCCTGAATGCAGTTATGCGTTATGGAATGCCCCCTCAAGAAGCCTTCAACTCTCAATGGTAAGTCCATAGGCAAATAAACACACTTTAATATTAGTTGATTATTTTTGTTGAACTTTTGAATAGATATCACTACCATCAGTCTTGCTAGGCTTACTCAAGGGGGGAAGTTGGTCTAATGCAAGCCAGGAAAGGTTGGTACGAGACCTCCGAGGCAAGAGTGAGAAGTGCTTCAGAGCATACACATCTCTCTTCATGCGCCATTTGTGTGAACCTGGTAATGACAATGCTGAAACATTTGCTGATGGAGTGCCTCGTGAAGGATTAAGTAGACAACACGTTCTCACCAGAATCGGAGTGATGTCACTCATTCGCAAAAAGGTATTGCATTTTATAAGCAAGATTATTGTTGTTCTTCAGGTATATAAAATCTTGTTATATTTGATGGAAAAAAATATTGTAAGACTTTTTTTTGTCTTAAAACATATATCAGCTCAAAGATTAGCTGTGGTTGTGATCTAATTATAAATTTATATTTTCAGATTTCAGAATTTGAGACAATCAATGGCCATTACTCAATGCCAGAAGCTCTAAATAGGCCTGTTGAGCCAGCAGTAGTAGATGGTGGCAAAAGCAACGGAACTTCTGCTTCTGGTGAGTGTTTTTGTTTTTTCTTTCTTTTTCTTTTTCATATTTTATAATACATGACTATTCCCTGTTTCATGTTTTTTTGTTGTATTACACTTCCATAAACATTCAGGTTTTCTCATAAAGTGCTTCTAATCATTTGTCAATGCATCATTTAGGTACACCAGCAACCAGTGTAACTCCGTCTCCAGCACCATCTGTGAAGGGAGAATCAGAAGACAAGGAAGAGGACAAAAAGGAAGAAGCTAAGAAAGAAGAAGACAAGAAGACTGAAGATAAAGAAAAGAAGGATGAAAAGGAGAAGGATGAAAAAGAAGAAGAAAAGAAGGAAGAGAAGGTAGAAAAGAAGGAGGAAGAGAAAACAGAAGGAGAAAAAGAAAAGGTAAATTTTGCATTTAATTCTTGTTTTGATTTTTAACAAATTATGGTAACTGATTTCTTATTGACCAATACCTTTTACTGAGTCATGTTGCAGAGACCCCAAAATAATGCATTTTTAATCTTACAGAAGGAGGAACCTGCTGAAACACCTGAAGTGAAAGCAGAGGAAGAAGAAAAGAAAGAAACAGAACAAACTGAGAAGACTGAGAAGCCCGAAGAGGAGAAGAAGGAGGAACCAGAGAAGATGGAAGTAGAAGAGACCAAGAAGGAAGAGGAGAAGAAAGAGGAAGTGAAAATGGAAACTGAAGAAAAGGAACAGAAGGAAGAACAGAAGACTGAAGAGAAGGAAGAGGCAAGTGAAACAAATGTTAATTTGATGAAGTACTAACTTTCAGATTTATTTTGTGCTAACTTTACGTAGATTTATTTAGTTGTCTTGATTTTCTTTCTTCCATAATCATCAATTTTATTTCCAGGCTGAGGTCAAGGCCGAAAAAGTAGAAAAGACAGAGGAGGATAAGGAGACGGAAAAGAAGGAAGAAGTCAAGAAAGAGGAGGAGGAAAAGGAAGATGAGAAAGACAAAGAGAAAGAAAAGGAGAAGGAAGGAGATAAAGATAAGGAGAAGGACAAAGATAAGAAGGAGGAAGATGAAAAGAAAGATTCCAAGAAGAAGGACGTGGATTCCGTGGCAAAGAGAAAGTTCATGTTCAATATTGCCGATGGTGGGTTCACAGAGCTACACACACTGTGGCAAAACGAGGAAAAGGCAGCTGTTCCTGGTCGCGAGTACGAGATCTGGCACCGCAGGTAGGTTGAGAGTCCTAAATCACTATTTTTTAGATTTTCAACTTGCATATTCAACTGTCTGGAAAATTATATATAATGCAACATTTATTATTTATATTTTATTTTTGCAGACATGATTATTGGCTGCTTGCTGGAATTGTTACTCATGGGTATGGAAGGTGGCAAGACATCCAGAATGATGTCAGGTTTGCCATCATCAATGAGCCATTCAAGATGGATGTGGGCAAGGGTAATTTCTTGGAAATCAAAAACAAATTCCTTGCCAGAAGGTTCAAGGTAATATTTTTTTACTGGATTTGTTTACTTTTGTGTATTATTCTTTGTCAGTTTACCTGTATATATATTCATACACATTTCCTGAAATGCCATGAATTATTGTTGTTATCCTTTTTTCTTCTTTTTTCTTCTCCTTTTTCTCCATTTCTTTCACTTCTCTGTCTCCTCCTCCTTCTCCATCTCCTTTTCTCCTTTGCCTCTCCTTTCTGGTATTGTGTTCATGTGCTGTCTTCTTAAAAATCAGGTTTTGATAATTTTCCTAATCTCTTTTGGGACCAAGCAGCTGTTAGAGCAAGCACTGGTCATTGAGGAACAGCTGCGTCGTGCAGCATTCCTTAACTTGCAACAGGATCCTCATCATCCTGCGTGTACCTTGAATGCTCGTTTCGCTGAAGTGGAATGTCTGGCTGAATCACACCAGCACCTCAGCAAGGAGTCCCTGGCTGGAAATAAGCCGGCTAATGCAGTCCTAAATAAGGTTAGATTTCATTAAGCTTGAATTACATTTTATTTTTCTCTATCCACTTATGACCTATATCTCATTCAGTGCCTGTGAATGTATATTACACTAGGATTTTTATATTACATATATTTTTTACTTGTCCATGAAATAGGTGCTGAACCAGCTGGAAGAGCTGCTGTCAGACATGAAATCTGATGTCACACGGTTACCTGCTTCTCTTGCCCGTATTCCCCCTGTGGCCCAGCGTCTCCAAATGTCTGAGCGTTCTATCCTATCTCGCCTGGCCTCAGGCGCGGGTAATGTGGACAAAAGCGCTCAAGGAGCAGGTGAGGGTTAGTGTTGCCAGAAATTCCTCTTCCTATTGATGGTTCAGGTTGTCTGGTTTTGTTGAAGTGTCTTCAGCTTCAGTAAGTTGGTGTTTATTACCCTTCCACAAGGA